AGAGAGAGAGAGAGAGAATTAATTGTAAGTACAAAAAAAGAATAATGAGCCTAAAACTGCGAAGATTTGACAAAATGCGTATATCATGCAAAATGAGACAGGCCCGGTGTACCAAAAAGATAGACACAGAAGGGTTGATCGACTGAGTGGGCGGCCTAAAGGATGGCTGGATGAATAAATGAGCAGAAAATTCTGAGAGCCAAATTCATACCTTCGCGATCATACGTTGCTCGGCCAACGAGTGAACAGTGAATAGTCGAAGTCTGATGGCGGAAAACAAAGACGCCGGCCTGAGGAGAGACAAGATGACGCCAATGAGACTGCAAGAAATGACATAGTTGACGAACAATGCCCCACCGTCGGGCAAAAAGATGCATTCAAGCCGGATCGGTGGCCGCGGCAGAGGAGGCAGTGTATTGCCGGCGAAGAGTGGGGAGAGAGTAGATAAATTAGTAGCCATTGGATAAGGGTGAGAATCAAATGTGGCTGAAGAAGAGTTGATTACTGCAGAAAAATGGTGTGAAAAGGTAACGTTGTTGTGCAAGTCCAACGTCGGCTGGTCCTGATCGTATGGGGCGGTGAGCCAATAGAAGAAAGCGGGAAGACTATACAACGTAAAAGACAGAAGAGAATACATAACAGAATGGTTAAATGATGGAATATTTATTGGATTATAAGAATAACGAAAATTAAGAGGCTCTAAAAGTAAGCTTTTATTTCCTTTAAACATATTCGATAAGGGGATTAGTTGAAGTTGTGAGATTCTGTATTTGTGCAGATACTATAAATGTGAAATTCTACAAATCAGTATTGCCGAGTATATGGAAGAAACATGAGTGTACATGGACTCGTCATTCCATTGAATTGGAATTTTTATTGATAAATAAGTTGACTATAAAAGTAAATGTGGTAAACCGATAATAATAATAATCATAGTAGTAGTAGTGGCAGTAATAATAGTCATAGTAGCAATCAGCAATTGTATGGTTCATTTATCATGGTCTATAATTTCAGTTTAAGTTGAAAATGGCAACATTAAGACCGATGAAAGCACAATACAGACAAAAATACTTTTTCACATAATAGGTACATATGATGTAATAGCTACAATCACCTCGGGGTCACTTGTGGCAGTGTGGTTCAAGTTCCGTTGATGAGACATGAGCGAGGTCTAAACTGCAGTCCCATTCAGCTGAGATGAGCATAGCTTTTGCGAAAAAGTCAACTACAAGTCCATCACTTTAAGCCAAATGTCAAAACTGTACAAAAAAGCTTGTTGTCCCGGTAAGAGGGAACGACATCTTCAAATCTGGTGTGGCAGGTTAGAACCGTCAAACGATGACGGCAAATGATGGAAAAAATATCGAAGCTTCGAGGAATCATCTTCTATCGAGTCAATCAAACTGCATATTTTGATCATGTCCCAGTTAGCTTTAAGAAATGTCATTGGCCTCTGGTAGCCACCAGCTATTGCATATGGACTGTATTATTCGCAAAATCCCAATCAAATATTATACAGATTATCACATTCACAGACATTATATTTCAGATTATGCGAAATGTGACAGAAGTTTGTGGCTAATGGAAAACATGCCCTGGACTAGACAAAAATGCATTTTAGAAATGACCTTTTCACCTATTTTTAAGTACCAATCACTCAAACGTATGAGAGGAATAAAATATTAACTGACAACCACTTGACGGTTGCTATACTCTTACCCGGTCAACCCAAGGGAGGGTATGATGAGTGTCACGATGACAAGAAATGCAAATGTTCTCGTCTGCACGGCCATTTCACGAATTCCGACCGTCCAGTGTCGAATGCTGTCCTCGCTGGCTGCAACCAACCAGGGGGTGAGCGCCGAGATGCTGGCCAGAATGATGCTGGGCATGAAATTTGCCACTAAAGGGTGCTGGACGGCGTGAATGTGAAGGGAAGAAAATCAAGGCATTGGTACTGGAATTATGAAGGTCATTGGATGAAAGAAATGGAACAACCCAATCTGTCGTGGGAAGTCAATAAAAATGACTATAAGGGTAAAAATGGTTTAGCACTCAGCTTTATTTAAGCAACACACATGAGTCCCAAGTCATGGTCTAAGTGGAAAAAACATGATTTCCAGTTGATAAACTAATCTTGCTTACTCTTCATTTTTGAGTAGATTTTCCAGATTACCAGTTAATCATAGTTATGAAAAATAAAGTCATATGTAATATTTGGTGTTGAAAATTACTTTACAAAACTCATATTTCCTCGATTGGTAACCTTAGCCTACTAGATACCGTTTGGGCAATTTTCATTCCCATGATTTCCATCAATTGAGAAGGCTAATAAGGGTTGAAATAATTAATGAAAGTCAGAAAAAATAATTAATCATAGTCACCTACACATTAGCATCTTTGACAGACAGGTAAGTGGACGAAAAAATAGTATAGATGCTACAAGATAACCCCAGCCGAAAACTGAGGCAAACTTGCATTTTGCTAATACAGTAAACTGCACTACTTATCTTGATATAAGTAGGTCACGAGGCTATCGGTAGATCTTAAAAAAAAATTTATTGGATCTAGGCGAGGTAGAAACTGAAGTGCAGTTCGGCCTATTCTCATATACCTCTAAGCTTATGCATATTTTATTTTGTGCAAAAGTCCAGTGGTTGTTATGAGTAATTGGAATAGATTGTAGAGGATTAGCCAAATCCTTCTAAACTACTGGAGAATTAGAAATAGTGACTGAAGATAACCGGTTAGTTTTTTGCGCTGAATAAATGGAACGGGTAGGTGAAAGAGGTTAAGACTCCTAAAGTCATAGGTCTGTTCCTACCGCAAAGGAATACATACCAAGATATTTGTCAACTTATCTATCGAACTATTTATACATATTTATTTGTTTTTTAGTTATTATTATCGTAATTAATTAATTTGTTTGGTTATTTTTAATTTATAACGATCTATTTATCCATTAAAGGTATAGCCAACTAAGAGGTATTGTAAATAGACCAGATCAACTCAGGCTAATGCCGAAATGGTGAGCAAATGGATCAAGCTCTCATCAAAAGTGTTCAGCGTTGGCTATCGAGTAAAAAAAATATTGCCCTCCGATACTCATAATACTATAAAATAGCCAATATTAAATAAAGACCAGAGATACTACTTCAGTGGAACTCTCATTTCAAATAAAATCCGAAGGAAGATCACTTTGGAGTTGAGACTGTAAACCTTTTGCCAAGAAGCCCTCAATGAACAGTCGATAGTAAACGTCGTCAGGGATTGAAACTATATTACCGTGATCGGCTGCAGATCCACTTCATTTGATTTAATTCTGCTATTTTACTGAGGCCTCGCATAATTTGGATTCATTATGAATACAAATTCATCAGTCGGAAAATGGTAAACCAAAGACTTCTTGTCGGGATCAAGTCAAAACCCAACTGTTAAAACAAATGAAAAATTTAACGGACTCATTAAAATCCAGCTTTCCTCTCTATTATGAGTGACAATGACTTATAGTAACTATTTTATAAAATGCATTTATTTCCATTTTGAAGAATAGAAAGCGAATCTGTCCAAGTGTAAGATTCAAAGCTAAGAGCAAGGGAAGAATAGAGGTCTGCTGATGGGCAAGTGAGTGAGTTGGCAAAAGAATGTAGTAAGGTCAACAACTCGATTTCGACTGACTGGACGGCTACCTTAGGTCGTGTACATTGTAGCCGTCAAATGGAATGAAAATAAGTAATTCGAGATAAAGCAGAGACCTACCATGAAACTGGACATTAGCTTCATCAGCCCGAGTTCGTCTAATGTCTTGATCAAATAGGTGGGAGATGTGAGCAACAAAATGACAAAAAAGATGACAACATTGACTAGAGCAGCATTTATCCACCAGGTAGCCCAGCAGCCTCGAATACGCGAGTATCGATGGCGGCCGGTCCAGCTCAGATTTGACCTAAATTTAAAATAGAAACTAACGATGAATGCAATAATAAATAATAAAAAATAGCCAAAAATCTCAAGAATCTTCTGAAAATATTTAAAGACGCCCAACATCATTGTTCAATTTGATTCATTGAGGTTCACATATTAAGGCATAACAGTAAATAAAACCATGAATACATAAGAGGATTTTGTTTTTTGGCACATAGGTCCAACTTTTAATTGGTAATGGTTGCAGAGCCCTAAAATAAAACTATGGAAAATTGTGTTAAACACCGTCTTGGCATCAACTAGAAAGACCATATTGTCAATAGACTGCATACTTTAGCCTTTTAGCCACAATTACTCACGATAAATTGAAGAGGAAACCTAATATCTCATTTCAACTTTATTTTGACAAATTTTCCAATAATATTTCTATCCATAATAGAATTCAGTTGCTTGCTTGTCCGGATTTTATTAGCACTCACAGCTAGATTCGTGTCGTAGACATTCCGGTATAAAGAAAGACGTATAAGCGACGAGTAGGTAACCTGGTCTTCGAGGTTTTCCTAGTAGGTGGATACTTATATTGTTCTTGTACCAAAAAAAGCAAGATTGCTTGCCAATACAAAGTTTCCCATTATAGAAGAGAGATGATGCCAAAAACTGCATAAAAAAGCATCATTTGAATGGACTAAAAGCTGAAAGTCTCAGATAACCCAAAGAACCTTTATCAATGCCCAAATATCAAAATATTTTTTCCTGCAGAGCAATATAAA